CTTGCCATCCCCGCATGCCTCCCTCACCTCTAGCCGCTCTAGCGTATCCAGCGTGTCCAGCAAGACAGCTTCTTGCGTGCCGGCCGGCTTCTCCTCGGCATTCCGTGCGCTGTGCTCCACCCGCCCTCTCCAGCACACCACCTGCACAGCCAACGGTCGGTGTAAGGGGCGACTTGAGGTTGGGGCCGACTCAAGCAAGTATGAGCATCGGCATGCTGCTTCATGCTTGACGCTGTCCGCTGTCAGGACATGCTTCTGGCACGGCATATAGCTGGCCGTGCCTCCCTGCATGCATCTCTCATCGGTCGCTGTTACCAAATGCGCGCTCACCTGCCTCCCAGCCGCTTCCACGCTGGCGGGTATACACGCCAGCAGGGCTGCCGCGCTGAGCACTACCGCGCCTGCGACGTGGCACAAGAGCGCCACGGCTCCCACCCCCGCTCCTGCTAGCCCGCCGAGGAGTCCCAGCTTGCGATATCCCGCGGCAGGCCACGCGCCCAGAGCGGCGGTGCCTGACACGAAGCCTGCGCCGAGAGCGAGAGCCGCCGCGCGCAGCCCTGCAGGCAGGTCGGTCAGGTCAGACAGTAGAAGTCCCAACGGCACTGCCGTTGCTCGCGTGCTCCCCCGGGTCGCGGCTGCCATCATCGCGGCCGGCCCGTGCCCAAGTGCACCGACCTGAGTCTTCACGCTGTTCCCTGGGCCACGAAGAAATGCTTATCACCAGGCTATGCCACACCGGCCCGCCCTTCTGCATCCCGTCCGTGCTGTGCGCGATGGCTCACCTTGCAGCGGCGTGTCCACGTTGGCCACGCTCCGCCGCTGCTGCTGAAGGCTGCCCACGTGGCTGCCGTACTGCCACACGTCCGCCGTCCGGCCCGGCCCTCTCCGGTCCAGCACCGCGCCCAGGGCCCGCCCTGCAAACGACGACACGGGTTCCACTAGGTGTCACAGGCCGTAGCTGTCTGCCGTTCTCAACACACACCTCGCAAGGGTCGCCACCTACAGAAGGTCCGAACAACGCTCCTCTGTCATCCTGGGTGCCTCAACTGCTCAACCTTCTGTCAGGCCGTTGCGGCCCCCCGCCCGGAGCAGTCTGCCCCGGCTCACCTGCCCGCTCCCCCAGGCGTGCGGTGGCACGCAGCGGGCGCGTGAGCAGGCCGGCGACGCCCTTGCCCAGGCCGCGCCCCGCGCCCAGCAGCCCCGCCGAGCAGTAGCCCTGCACCACAACGGGCAAAGCGACCGCTCACACGAGGCGGCGACCCACGGGCAAGGGGAAGGCAGGGCGTCCGAGGGGAGAGGCCGCAAGAATCGGGGCTGGAGACGGAAGGGGGCCGCAGAAGGGGCACCATCGGAGGTCACACAACAAACACATGGGTTCAAGCCGCTACTAAGTAGCTGATACACAGGGAGGGTGACACTCGTGGAGACCGGAATGAGCCTCTGTAGATCCGCTACGGCTCTTGAGGAGGGCGAGGGTTGGCGCCTGTGTCTGACCTGGACCGGCAGCTTGATCGGCCCCGCCAGGGTCCCCACTGCAGGGACACACGCGGCGCACGAGACGCGGTCAGGGTGCAGCCAGGCGTACTGGGCATGGGCGGGAGGGGGCCAGGCCTGCCCGAACGAGCACAGAGACCCGGCGCGGCGAGTTTTTGAGAGTCATTCCCACAAGAGGCGTAAATGGCCAACTGCTGCCGTGCCTGCCTCAGCAGGCTCCTTGGCATGCGGCGGTGCGCTCACCCATCTCCCCCAGGAACACCGCGAGCGCGCCCCCCGCGCCCTGGTACGCCAGCTCCCGGTGCGTCGCCCAACAGACGGGGCGGTACCGCAGCCGCCGGTGGGCCGCGCGGGGGCCCTCTGCCGAATGCACAATCCGGTCTGCCATCGCCGACAGTCACCTGCCAGCCATGTAGCCGTCGAGTTCTGAATGCTGGACGAGGAATCACAATCAATGTAATCTCGATTGCCAGTCAGGTTCACATGGACCGCCGGGGGTGGCCGATCGCTGCGACGCAATGCCCAGAGCCGGGCAGGGCACAGGCGGGACTTGCCTGGTGGCGTCCAGGTCGCAGAGCATGGCGCGACGGGGCAAGTGGCGGTGGAAGGCGGCGGCGGCATACTGTGCGCCCTTCTCGTTCGCCAGCAGCGCAGCCAGGCGGGCCGCTGCGGCCTGCACGGGGCCCGCCTGCATGTGGCGCAGCGCCGCCACCAGGCTCTTCTCGCTGAGCTGGTTGGCGGGGATGGGGTGCGGCCCACAGCCGTGCTGCTCGATCAGCTCGCCCCTGCACAGCAGCAGCGCGTCAGGAGAGGCCGGGGACGAGGCCGCCGCGCGCAGCAGGTCACAACCCGAGGCAGGAGAAACGACGAGAGGGGCAAGCAAGCACACCGGGCAGACTACGAGCAGCGGCAACACTGGGCAGGCCAGCGAGAGCCACCCCGCCATGGTGCCATTAGTATCCGGTTAAACGTTCAACATGGTCAACAGTCAACGTGCACTTCGAAACAAACATCGAGTGGAAGAACTTCTCTGGTTGAGTCCGACTGTGATGGGAGAGCCCTGGCTTGCCCCCCAGCGAGGGGGTCCTTCCCCAATGTGCGCGCGGCCTCACCACATGGCCTGGTCGCCGAAGAAGGGCACCACCAGCTGGGGCCGCCCCGCCAGCGCGCCCGCGGCGGTGGTGCCGGCTCCCCCGTGGTGCACCAGCGCGGAGCAGCGCGGGAAGAGCCAGCTGTGCGGGGTGTGCTCGATCAGGTGGATGCTTCTGGGGGGGTCGCTCGACCCGAACTTGCCCCACCCGCGATTCATCACCGCGCGCACGCCCGCCTGCACACAAAGCACGCGTCCACAATGATCGGGTAGTCGAGCAGACCGTGGCGGGTCGTTTATGCCCCTGAACCTGCAGTTGGTCCAGGGACAGGTGAGCATGGTGTCGCAGGCTATGCGGTAGAGGCTGTGCAGCGAGGGGCGCCTGGGCGCGCGCGCACCTCAGCGACGGCGCTGAAGATGGTGTTGGTCAGCTTCTGCGGGTCCTTGGCCACCATGCTGCCGAACCCGATGTACACCGGCGGCGGGCCCTCCGCCAGGAAGGCTGCCAGGGCCGGGGGCGGGTCGTAGCGCTGCTCGTGGCGCTCCTCCAGGAAGAGGAAGCCGGTGACGGCGATGTGGGGGCCCCAGTCGGCCGGCTTGGGCGCCAGGGCGGGGCTCCACGCGTACGTGAAGGGCACGCGCAGGGAGTGCAGGGTCATGGCCGCACCACCCAACGTGGGCGCCTTCTCCAAGCCCAGCAGGTCAACACGGAACTGCACGCCAGCACACGCTCACGCACCCACCGCACAGCAGCAGGCACAGGCACGGCAAGCAGCAAGACACAGGGCGGCAGGTGTCAAGAGAAGGGACAGTGCACGCGCCCTCATTAATGAGCCAGCACCCGGGGATGGCTGGTGGGTAAGCAAGGTGACGGGTGTCACCTTCTGGACGATGTCAGACGTCCCTGCATGGCACCCACGAAAGCACAATGTCTGAGCAACAAACCCGAAACCCGAATTCGTGAGACAATGTCACCAACCAGGCTGGATTACATGATTGAGACAAAGACGATAACAACTTCTATGATGGAAGCTCTCAAACCATGTAAAATCAAGGGGTTTGATCCGGATGACAAAGAACACCAGAAAGTAGAAAGGGGTCCATCAGGTGTATACGAAAAGGGGGCCCAGGAGTCTGGCATCTGCTGACAGAACGGAAGGAAGGAAGGGCTCCCGGCAGACTGCGTAGGACCCCCTTCAACAATAAACTCTTCGATTGACGGTCAGAATCAGTGAATCCAGTCAACCCAGACCGTCGATCCTAGGGGGTTATAGCTAGGAGGGGTCCCTTACGTCGGCTTGGGAGTCCACGTTCTCCCTCCTTCCGTTCTGACAGTAAGTAAGCGTATAACATTCGTCTCCCCTCCTCTAATATCTTGGCTCGAACTTGCAAGGCTCACCCGAGTAGATGAATGTTTCTGTGGCGAAGTAGGAGAGGCGGTTGCGCAGGGTGCGCACGCCGCTTCTGTAGCGCGTGTATGACAGCGGGTGGGGGTACGACCACGTGCGGCTGCACACAGGGCGCCAGGCACGCGGCCTCAAGCTGGGCCAGGAAAGGGGAGAGACAATGCACACTACAGTCCAGCGAGGCCGAAGAGGGGGACCAGCAGACATGGGGGGCCCAGGCACACCAGATCACATTGTGCAGCCTAGAGGACCGGGAAGGGGGCAGGCAGCGGAGGCGCACCTCCAGGGCATGGTGAAGACCATGTGGAGCGGCACGCCCAGCTTCTCCGCGCAGTGGACATGGCCTGCACCACCGGAGAGATGCCACGTCACCACTCGCCCACAGCTGGTGGCTTCGCAGAGCGGGGAACCAGGTGGAGTCAGCACGCAAGGGGAACCAGCTGACGAGGCCCTGGTGCAGGTTTCAGAACGAAGACTGTCTCGTTCCAGGGGAGGAGACGCAATCTGAGGGCGAACTTCTTTCTGTCTGACCTGCGGCGGGGGGGTTGGCAATGATGCAGTTGGCGAGGAAGGGGCGGTTGGACGCAGGGGTGGGGCGCGTACACGCATCCCACGTGGAGAAGAGGATGTTGTGGAACTCCTGGCGCTGCCGGGACAGCTCGCTCACGCCCGCAGGCAGGAACCCGCGGTTCTTCACCATCACTGCACTCGCGGCGGGGCAAGTCAGGTTGCGGGGCACCCACTGGCAGACTCGTGATGCTGCCAAGCAGGCAGGGATGCTCCGGCAGCAGGGGCAAATGACGGGGAACACAGTGAGCCCCCCTTGGAATCCGAGCCTGGCTGGCGGGCTTCTCGGAATAATCAGGGCCATGGAAGTGCCCCTAAATTCAGAAAGATGCAGCAGGCACAGAACAGATATTGGAGGATATTTCCTCACTCACACTTGCTGAGGAACTCCGGATCACCCCCAAGTGGGAAGAACTCTACCCCCTGATCTTCCACAAACGTCTTATAGTTGACGTGCGTTGCCAGCCTGCACTAGGTAATGTGTAAGAGTAAGCGAAGAGAAGGCGCCTCGCCCAGCGCCCTTGCTGTACTGGAGAGACAATTGGCGGGAAACAATGAGAACAAACACAACTATGTGGCGCTGTTAGGTTCACAGGAGTCTAGTTACTTCAACACTCCAACAAACATGCTCGTCATCACCAAGAGGCATTCCTACCCATCCTTCCGCATCGTCGTGCCCAGCTTGGCACTGCCACTGGCAGCCACTGCCAGTATGGTCCAAGCGGAGGCTGAGCTTGGGGATCCTGGCGCCGCTGTTGGCTCACCTGATCTGGTGGCCCGCCTTCTGCAGCTCTTGGCTGAGCACCACAAATGGCTGCATGTCCCCAAACGTCCCCGCCACCAGCACTGCAATCATCAGAGGAGGTCCTCCCCACCCGGTGCTGCTGTCGTTCATACTGTCCCCACCAGCCGCCACAGAGCTGCGGGTAGAGTGGGCTGCACTGTCACCCTTAACAGAGCCACTTGCATCACAGCCAGCGGCTGGTGTGGATGACTCTTCGCTCTGCTCGACACATGGGTAGCTTGAAACCTGCTGAGTCCGGCGGCTCTGCTGCTGCGCCCTTTCCTTCTGTCTGCGGCGTCCCATTGCACTCCATCAGAGTGGGCTTCCGGCAGGATCTTCTGAGCCACACCATGGTGCACTCAACCTGAAATGTACACTACTATATCAGCTACTCACGCATTTCTTCAACGCATTCCTCCAGCATTGTCAGCCAACTATTGTTAACACTAGACTGTGGTTCAGAACGCCAGCATCGCAGTGGCGCCCTGCTGGCGCTCATAATCAGGCATTGACAATGAATTGAGGCGAGGCTCGGCATGTGCGCTCTGCCTTGGCATTGCATGCCTTGGCCCGCCCGCCTGGTTATGCAGGCTTGCCAGCTGGCAGAATCTGGAAACTGCCAGTTGTCAAGTCCAAAAGAAGGGTTTCTTCACCGTCCGATCAAATGCTGCCCTCAATCGACGGCAAGAAAGTTCTGATGGCACCTTCCTTTTGGGTGGCACGTGCTTGAAGAGGGCGTCAGGTCGCCGCGAACTGCAGCGACACAACAAGTGCCAGATATGCTTTGCATGGTCGCTGCCACAGGATCTGCTGACGTATTTTGTCGGCGACGGCAAGCTTGAATATCCACTCTGATGTCGCTTTTTGACGTCAGGCGTTACGGGTTATCCGGGACGCCCACTTTAATGTCCGAATCTGTCGTCGGACGGTGAGGTTGTGAGTGTTGGACAGTCCGAAAATATCTTAGCGATACGCGCGCGGGGTGACGAAAATTGAGGCTGATATTTGAGCTCTGACCGGATAGGGCTTGCCAATGCATGAGCCTAGGCCCAGGGCAAAGTTTTGAATTGCAAGTTGCAACTTTGCAGGGTTTGTCTCTGGAGGTGTCTCAGGAGGGGATGTGGCATTTGCGATGGCGTGTTTAGCTGGCTGCTGGAGGGCTGCTGCAGGTCAGTACGGTAGACATCTTCTATGATTCAATTGCAAGAGAGTCTTCTTGATCCATCAGTCCCTGACCTTGTGATGGGTGTGGAAAGGTCGGTCGAGTCCAAGGTTGCATGAGCAACTTCCACACTGACATTGAGGCTTAAGAGGCTTAGTGATCCTACCTCTGTGCGTTGGCTGTGTGCATTTCCCAAGTGCTCGCAGCCTCCTCGGTCCCCGCCCTCCCTGTTCTGCTCCTGCTATCTGGCGTAACCCTGTGCGGTTGTGTGTGCGCAGCTGCTCCTGTTGAGTCTCTGTGCCCCTCGACCTTGCTGTGCACCGGCAAGGCCACCATGAGCAGCTGCATCGCTGCCATCACCCCCATCAGCCCGGGGGTGCTCTCTGCCCGGGGCTCCGATGGTAATGGTGTGCTCGACCTGCCACACTCCCTGTGGCCTCCGAGGTAGGCCGCACATCTATTCCTGGGTGGACATGTTGCAATGTGAGGGCCCAGTTAGGCATCGCTTGATGGATCACAGCTGGTTGGCTGAAGATGGCTCTGCGACCTCAAGCTAGCAACCCGTGAGCATGGCCCAAGCATGCTGAAGCGTTGACAACACTTACCCCTGTGCTCCTGTTCGTTTGCAGGTTACTTGCCAGCTCTAGAAAGGGTTGCTCTATGCATGACTACCGGCCAATGGCTGTTGCTGTGGGCGCCCCTACCACTATCCCTAGTTCCGCAGCAGACAGCCTGGAGGCGGGGCCGCTGCCGTGGCACGCCCGCGCTCTAGAGGGCACCCTGGAGAGCAGCACAAGTACCAGCGGGCATGCTGACACGTTTACAGAGGAGGAGTACCGCGGGCATCTTTTTGATGACGCAGAGGCGCAGAAGGAGCTGGACCTTGTGCGCACCCTGTCCCAGGTCAGCCACCCCCACTGCACCCCGAGCAGCCCCGGCATGAATGCACCACTCGGCAGTGCTGGCGCATCGGTATCCCTTGATTGCCCTCAACCTGCCCGATGGTCCGACTCAGGATTCAGCTGTTGGACACCACCCATCATGCGCGCCAGTGCCTTTTTGTGCAGATCAACTCTCTGGCGCAAGCAGCTATGAAAAGTGCGGAAGCGTCCAAGATTGTGGAGGCGGAGCGGGTGGCTCTGGAGGAGGAGGCCAAGACCTTTTCCCAGAAGGCGCGCTATACCGACTTTCTCACCCCCGAGGACTACCTGCTGCTGGAGGAGGCCAGGAAGCAGGAAGCTGCAGGGCGGGGCGGGGCAGCGGGCCCCAGCGGGGAGCGGCGGGGCGGGGAGCGGGAGCGCCAGGCGGGCAAGCTGCGGCCGGCAGCCAAGCGGAAGGCGCCCAAAAAGAAGCCTCGCGAAAAGCAGGTGGATGATGATAGTCTAGCAGGGGCAAGGATCAAAACGGTGCAACATTCGGAGGCACCAGAGCCTAGGGTTCGTAAAAAGGCTTCCATCAAAGGGGCGATGGGTGCAGTGGCGGAGCCGGAGAGTCGCACGGAGCAGCGGCGGCGGCGGCGAGCGGAGCGGGCGGCGATGCGGGTGCGGTGGAAGGAGCGGGGCGGGGGGGCGGGGACACGCGAGGTGTTTGTGGAGGACAGCGTGGGGCAGATGCTGGTGAACGCGGGGTCGGCGAAGCTGCTGACGCCCAAGGAGGAGCTGGAGTGCGCGACGTGCATCAAGGAGAAGATTGAGTGGGAGCGCGTGCGCGAGGTGCTGGCCGCGGAAGCGGGGCGGCCCGTGGGGCTGGACGAGCTGGCGGAGAGCCTGGGGATGTCGCCCACGCTGCTGCGCGAGAAGTGGGCGCTGGGCGACCAGGCCAAGGACCTCATGGTGCGCTCCAACCTGCGCCTGGTGGTCTCCGTCGCCAAGAAGTACGTCGGCCGCAACATGGACTTCACGGACCTTGTGCAGGTGAGCACTCTCGCGGCCCAGCCACCAACAACGAGCTGCCAGTGGTTGGCTGTGTGCTGGGCTGGACAAGAGTAGCAGCTGCAGTGCGTCTGCGGCGCTGTGCTTGCTGCTCTGCTACCAGAATTGCCGCCTGTTGCAAGGAGTTGAGCGCGAGACCTGTCTTTCCTCTGTGTCCACAGGAGGGCAACCTGGGCCTGATCAAGGGTGTAGAGAAGTACGACCACACCAAGGGGTTCCGCTTCTCCACATACGCGCACTGGTGGATCCGGCAGGCCATCACGCGCGCTGTTGCAGAAAACTCGCGCACCATCCGGTTACCGGTACGCCTTACTCGCCCTCCTTTGTGCCTGTGCACCTGCTGCCAAGCCCAGTGTTGTGCTTGCAACCTTGAAAGGGTTGCTCTGACCCACTGTAGTGCTGTGCTACGCTGGCCCTTGCCGCAGCCCCCCTCTTGCGGTGGTGCTGAGCGGGCGTACTCTGGTGCAGGTGCACATGTACGAGGCGATCACGAAGGTGTACCGCGCCAAGCGGCTGCTGGTTGACCAATTGGGGCGGCCAGCCACTGCAGCCGAGATTGCCGCGCTGTGCGGGCTGCCCGTGGAGAAGGTCACGCTGTGCCTGCAGGTCAACAAGCCCATCATGTCCACCGACAGGGAGGCCGGCAACGAGGACCAACCCGGCAGGAAACTCATTGTGAGCCCGCGCAACCAACGCACGTAGGGCTCAGCTGAGACCTGCCACACTGCGGCTGACAGACTACAGCTTGGATGAGAGGACAGGGGCCAAGTTCGCAACAGACAGCAGTGCCCGCTGGATGCATCCATGGCCATGCAGCCAGAGTGGTTCCCGGATTGTTGCTGACGTGCAGGCACGGGTTGGGCATGCAGGACTCGCTGGTGGTGGCGGACGAGGAGAGTGTGGAGGATGTGAAGACGGCGCAGGCAGTCAACGTGGCGATGATGAACGTGCTGCACACGCTGAACCCCAAGGAGCGCGACATCATCGCCATGCGCTACGGCCTGAACGGGGCCAAGGTCCGCTCCCTCGAGGAGATTGGCAACATCTTCCAGGTCAGCCCCCCGCCCAACACAGCAGAGCGGCTCGAGGACCTCATGCTGCTGTTCCTCGATACGCTGCCGTTCCTGGTTGTTGAGTAGTTGTGTTGTTTAAGCATCACATTGCCCTCACTAGTACTTTAAGGGCGAAAGGTTTGCCCTATCGCTGACCGGATGAGGGGAAAGGAGTGGTAAGACTTTTTGAGAGGTGCAGAAGATACAGACACTATGTATGAGTGGTTTCTGAGCCTGTGCAGCTATTATGAAACTGTCTCGAGCACACAAACAGCAGGTGTGCATTCGCCCTTTGGAATCATGGTTTTTTGAGGTCCATCTCAGAATCTACTTTGGATGTGCTGCCTGACGGACATGGGAGTGGTTCAGAGTGCGCTTGCGCTTGCATGCTCATTGCTGGAGGCAGAGCTGGCTATACACCCCTCTGTTCCCTCAGCCTAAAGTAGCCCAGCCCAGGGGGACAGTCTCTTGACCTAGTCCATCATCAACTGCCTCGGTTTGAGTTTTTGACCTGGTGTCGCGATTGTGTGCGTGTTTCAGGTCACTCGCGAGCGCATCCGGCAGGTGGAGGCGCAGGCGCTGCGCAAGCTGCGGCAGCCCGCGCGCAACTTGACGCTGCAGGACTTCGTGGACCAGCAGGGATAGCCAGCTCGCAGAGGGACATTCGGGCTGGAGGGGAAGGTCCGCCACCTGAGGCGCGCAGCTAGAAAGGAAGGGCCCATTGCCCTCTCTTCCGGCAGGCTCGACTGAGGTCGTCAAACTTAGGGGCTTGCTCTTGCGCTCTGCGCCACTGATTTGACCGAGCAATGTTGCTCGCCGAGTTGGAGAACCACCGGGGTTTGTGCTTGCATCCATCAAAGATAGCAGGTATAGGTATGCTAGAAAAACGCAAGTACAAGCGTCTGTATAATGCAACACGTAGGTGCATCAGATCAAGGTATACGATTCATACTGTACCAAACGGTGGCTGCCGGAAGAAAGCGCCAATGGGCGGCAGGTTGCTTGACCATGGTCGACTTGAAAGGTCATCAACTGTGCAGCTATTCCATTGCATTGGATACAATCTGGTCAGCACCGCTATGCTCGTCTTTGTCAAGACATGAACGTGATGCACCATACCCTCTATCGAGAAGCTGTTCTTGTGCATTGATGATCCATGAGGTTTAGGGCTATGCATCAGTCGTGAACTTACATGGTCAAACGGCCTGACCATGGCGTGCAGCCTACATGCAATTTATTGACTATCTACTGGAGTACATATGAGTGCAATGATTACAGGCAACGTATTCAATCAAGCCTTATACGATATCCGCCATGCCCATGGCCGGCGGCAGCTCTAAGCTCTGGCCATATGTGCAGGCTCGTTCGAATCAGTGCACCGGCCCAACGACACAGAGAAGCTTCCTCGCGGCCTGTGAGCCGCGCCTCAGGCATTGGTCAAATTTTGGCCTCTGCCTGGAGTATCTGACCACATTGGGCCAATCATCGGACGACCAACTAATAGCGTGCCATAACAACGGGTAATGAAGGTCTCGTCATAAGCCTGCTCCAAACCGGTGGCATGACCTCCACATGCCTTTTTATTGACAATTGTTTTTCTTGGCTGACCCTAGGCCCTCAATCGTTAATCCACGCCGTTGGGAGGCGGCTTGTGCCTCCGCGATGCCCGCTGGCCCCCGGCAAGCTGTTGCGCCGCGCCCACCATCTGGCTGTCACCTTGTGGCAGCCTTGTCCAGGAGGCCCTGGATGACCGTGCGCGCAATGGGGTGGTACTTGGGGGCCGCGGTGGCAAAAGTGCGGCTGGCCAGGGCGTGGCCGTCCGGCGACCCCGCAAGCAGGCCAGCGTACAGTGGCTTCAGGTACTTCATGCGCCCTGCACGCGCCAACCCGTCCAGTTGCAGATTATGGGCGCGTCGCTGTTCATTCGGACCACATCTGCTTTCCGGGAGTAGCAAGACAGCCGGCAACGGCACCAGAAACAGTTCGTGCGAAAGTTAGCCGAATTCATCCGAGCCGGCTTCAAGAAGCCGAGGCAGGATATCCAGCTGGAGCGAAACACACGCGAGTGCTCCCTCTGAACAATGACACGATTCTGCAGCTGCGGTACTGCTGCTACATGAACTCTGCCCGTCTCCCCCGAATTGCGTGACCCGAGGGGCGGACGCATAGGAACGCGTGCCCGGCGCTTACCCAGGGTGAGCAGCGCCTCGTGGATGGCGGGGAAGGCGGGCTGGTAGTCGGAGTGTGCGGCGATGACGAGGAAGGTGATCCGGATCTCGGGGTTGGGCGCGGCCGCCAGCTGGAAGTGGTCTTCCAGCCACGCCACGTCCGCCGCGGGCAGCCGCTTGGGCAGCGCGTCCAGGAACGTCTGCCACTCCAGGTACTGCGGGGCAGCGCGGGCAGCACAGCGGTCAGCCGGGCAGCGCGAAGGGGGCAACAGGGGGGCCGCTTCATGAATAGCCGACGGAGCAGTGCGGGCAGGCAGGGGCGGGGGAAGACATGCGGGCCGCCGTCAAAAACAAGTGGGAGCTCGAGGGCGGTCGTTGGCGGCTGACGACGGAATTGACTCGACCAGCTTTGCTGCCCCATCCGTAACGAACAGCCATGCAGCACAGGTACGTTGAGGATGCCAAACAATCAGCTGGACCTAGGGCAGCCGCAACGACACATTGGTACCGCACCAGTTCGGCACAACAGAAGAGCAGCGGGAAGCAACCAAAAAGTGTTCACAGAAGCGCTCTCTTTGTTTGGGCTGCGCAGTCGGCCAGGGCGCAGGGTAGACAGCACCGAGCAGAGAACGCAAGGCTGGGTGGCGCTGCACGAAAATACCTGCCAGCCGCGGTGGTCCTCCTCCGAGAGGCGCGCCCCGCTGGGGAACGCCGCGGCCAGGCTTTTGACTTTGTCGAGAGCGGCGGAGCGCGGCACGGGCGCGTTGGATGGGAGGCCCGGGGCGTCGATCCAGGCGGGCAGGTCCAGCGAGGGGGGCAAGCCGGGCAGGCGCGCGTGGAGAAAGGCCAGGAAGGTGGCGGTGTCGATGGACTGGAACTGGAAGTGCGCGATGTAGGCCTGCGCAGCGCGGGGAAACAGGATGAGAACAGGCTGGACGATGGTGAGAAGCCCCAGCAGACAAAGCGGAAGCCCCGTGGGGCAATGGCTGCTTCCGATTTGCCCATCCTGCATGGTGGCGGCCGCAGGGGTCACCTGAAGGAAGGCGTCGAAGGCGGGGCGCCCAACGGCGGTCTCGAGGTGGCGCAGGAAGAGGAAGCCCTTCTCGTAGGGGACGTCCGAGAAGACGTCGTCCGGGTCCACGCCTGGACGCACAGCAGAGGAAAGGGAGCTGAGCTGCGGCGCAGGGGACACACCTGGAGGAACGCGTCAAACGCGGGGCGGCCCACGGCCTGCTCGAGCGCGCGGAGCAGCAGCTGGCCCTTCTCGTACGGCACGCGCGAAAACACCGAGTCGGGGTCCACGCCTGGGGGAGGGGCCACCCAACAAAACAAGGAGCGTCAGGGCAGAACAGGGTGCAGGAAAGCAGTGGCCCGTTCTTTGTACTGCCGCTGCGGTGCCAGGAGTTCCACCTGCCGGCATGACAATCTGGAGCGCCCGGCAGCATGCAATGCCACGGCGAAGAGGGTCCCAGCTCACCCTCGAGGTTCATGCGCAGCTTGGTGTACTCGGAGTCGGGCCCGAAGCGTTCGAGCTCCTCGAGCAGGCCCGCGTAGCCAATGGCGGCGTGGAACGCAACGCGCTCGGGGCCCTGCACGGGAACGGGCAGAGGTCGTGACAGCCGCGGTTGGATAATAACTTTGACTGGACTCGCAGAAAAGCAACGAACAGATCACGCAACTGGTGCATCCAAGAGAAGACGAGCAGACGCCTCGGGCACTGCAGCCTCACTTCGGTGGCCTCGAGGATGCGGCGCTCTGCGTAGACGGTGAAGCCCTCGTTGAGCCAGAAGTGGTCCATGGTGGCGTTGGTCACCAGGTTGCCCGTCCAGCTGTGCGCCAGCTCGTGCGCCACCTGCAGCCAGCGGCGAGCGTGAGACCAGGCGACGGCCGCCGGAGGTGTGGAAGAGAGCTTGCCTGAGGGACCCTTTAGGAAGGCGAAATAGTAGATGACTAACCAGGAAAAGTTGCTCAAGGAAGAGTGCGGACTGGCATCAAAGCGCAGTTGAAAGTTGATTTGTCGTGCATAGGAAGCCAAATCAGGGAACCTTCGATCGGCTCGTCCTGCAGTATGCCACGCGGTGGCCGGCAGCTCACAACGTTGACGAGCGACTTGTCGCCTGTGATGAGCGTGGGCGTCATGAAGGCCATGCGCGGGTTCTCCATGCCGCCGTACGGGAACGAGGGCGGCATCAGCAGCATGTCAAAGCGGCCCCACTTGTATGGCCCGAACAGGGCCTCCGCTGCGCTGATCATGGCCTCCACGTCCTGCGCACAGCCGGGCAGAAGAAATGTTGGGGACGAGAAAAGCTGATGGTTGCAGTCCGGGTTACGAAACCCGGACGTCCGCCGCAAATCCTCCAAAGTGTCCAGAGCGTCCTAAAAGGATTCGAGATTCTGAAGTTGGCCCGCGCATGTCACACGGAGCCGTGTGGGCCTCACCTCAAACTCGCGCGCGGCCGCCTGCAGCATGCTGGGCTCAGCGTACACTGCGGAGCGCGGGCCGAGGTCCTGGCGCTGCAGCTCGCCCGCCGCAAATGCAAAGAGGTACGGAGGGATGGGCTCCTCCGTGGCAAACACCTCAAACGCAGTGGCGCCCCTCTCCTCCCGCCCCAGGTGCACGGCTGACATCACCACGTGCAGCTCCTTTGGGACCTGACATTGGGTACCATGAGTTGTGAGAGATTGTCCGTCCGCAACACCTAGTGACAGGACATGAAACCAGCAATGTACATGTGATGCAATCCAGTGAACATCTTCGGGGCCCCATACCTAACAGCCTAGCGCTCCGGAATTTAGATAGTGAGAATTTGCCTTGGGTCCTTCCTAACACAGCAGTACTGGCGTACTGACTGATCAATTGGGTTTCTAAGAAGCCTTCGAAGCAAGATATATTGACCTACATCTGTGATTGGACCGCGTGAGAGGCCAATTTGAAAGGACAAGCGTGCCACCTTATGCATGCGTCCTTTTCACCACGGCCTCATTGTCAGGGGTTCCCGCACAACCCCCCCGGCTTGTACGGGCGGAGGAAGAGGGCCGGGCCCTTGCGCAGCCTCACCTCCACCCTGGCCGCGTATGAGATGCGGGCTGCGGGGGTGTCTTGGCAGGGGAACAGGGAGCGCGCGTGGATGGGCTGGCACTGTGTGAAAACGAACGGAAGCTTGCCGCCCGCTGTCATCGCCGGCTCCAGCCACTGCAGCGCACTGGCGGAGGGGGGGATGCGGTAGCGGATGAACAGCCGGGAACCTGGCAGCAGGCAAGAAAGTCCGTCAGCACTTTCCCCATTGGTATCAGGGGATCCATTGAGCGGGAAGATCTGCCAATTGACTGACCTTCAGTGCTATGCTGACAAATGATCAGCGCGCACGGGCACACCGTGGTGCCCTGCTCAGGCCTGGGCTGCATGTTCAGAGTCCACTGTTGAGCGCCAGCTGCGAGAGAGGGAGGCAAAGCCAGGCAGGTTATGAAATGCGGATGGGCAGGGCCACTGTACCGTGGAGGTGCATCCGCAGGCGCTGTCCTTTGATGGCATCCTTGTGGTCCGTGTCAAAGGCCACACTCTCGCCCCCCTCCCCCGTGACTGCTTCCACACCGAGGTCACGCGTGTCAAAGTCGAGGGTGCCGCTGGCTGCACTCTTGAGGACGTAGTCTGCGGTCGCGTTGATGGTCTTGCTGTCAAAATCTAGGCGGAGCTCCAGGGCCACCGACTTGACCAGCGGCTGGTCCACATCCGCAAAGGAATGTGGATCAATGAAGCCCATCGTGGGCACTCTCTTGCAACCACAGACGGAATTATTGCTGCGCAGCTCAAGGGCGATAGGAGAACAAGAGAAGACGGCATGCAATGCGGACCTCAGGCTCAAGGGAGAGCTTCGGCAGCTGATCAGATTCTGCAGACTGTGAAGTTGAACGTGCAATTTGACAGATCGAGTCAGTGTGGTTAAATTTCGGAGACTTCACACTCACGTGTACCGGTCTGATCTCAAGAAAGGTCCTGCAAGTCCGAGACCCGGTCAGGACCATGACTCATGAGAAACAGAGAACGGGGAGCACCAGTGCAGTGTGAAAAGGCCATTAGAGCACAGGGCGCTTTCTAGGAGACGCGCTTGCTGCGAACCTCGCTGGCAGTCGAGGGCAGCAGCCTTCTA